GCTCGGGAGATCTTCTCTGCTTGAAGCCTGTTGGGCTGGTGCACCCAGATAAAACCTCAAACTCTTCAACTGGTGGGGACATCATCACTAGTTTCATTTTTTTAAATGAGGACAGTTCCTCATTTTTCTTCTGATCTTCCAGAATTTATAACAATGGAATCATAGGATGGTTTGGGTTGGAAAGGACCTTAAAGGTGATCGAGTTCCAGCCCCCTGCCATGGGCAGGGACACCTTCCACTAGCCCAGGTTGCTCCAGCCTGGCCTTGGACACTTCCAGGGATCCAGGGGCAGCCACAGCTTCTCTGCCCAACCTGTGCCAGGGCCTCCCCACTCTCACAGCCAACAATTCCTTCCCAATATCCCATCTATCCTTGCCCTCTGGCACTGGGAAGCCATTCCCTCTTGTCCTGTCCCTCCATGCCTTGTCCCCAGTCCCTCTCCAGCTCTCCTGGAGCCCCTTTAGGCCCTGCCAGGGGCTCTCAGCTCTCCCTGGAGCCTTCTCTTCTCCAGGGGAACCCCTCCAGCTCTCCCAGCCTGGCTGTGCCATTATTGTTCCTCTGAGGACCTTCAGGAGTTGCCTCAGTTGGACAAATAATCAGTGACACAGATAATCCCCAGGACATTGTGTGTGCTGCCTTTCCAAGGCTGATTCCAAGGAGACTGATTCCATTGAAATGGAGCTCCCTAAAACAATGGGACAGTTGTTTCCTGGATGAAGGGAATCTCCACCCTTGTCTGTGACTGAAGTCCCACCTGGACACAAGGGCTTTGGCAGCAGTATCAGTGTGCTGAGTCCCACTGAATTCCAGATTACATTGGGCCTGCTTTCATGGGGCTGCAAATGTCAATAAAATAGAGGGACAAGGTGTCCTGCCTCTCCTCTCTCTTTTGTGCCCTCTCTCTGAGTTCCCAAATCCAGGGAAATCTGGTTATGGAGAAAATTATTGGCACAGCAAAGCCAACATTGGAGGAGGGGAGAAATGAGTTAGTGGGTCTGAACATCCTTGAGCTGAGTCTTAATCCATGCCATGACCTGAGTTAGAGTGATATTCCTGTATCTTGACATTCCCTGTACCAATTCCCCTGAACATCTCCAGGGATGGGGAAGCCAGAGCATCTCTGGACAAGTCCAAGGAGTGCAGTGGTGCCATTTTTGAATTTGAAGGGATTGCATTTGCCTGTTCCACAACCTTACACCGAATGCCAGATATTTTGGAATACACAAGAACTGTCCAAAGGCCAGTTAATGAACAAACAGGGAAAATTAAGAGGTGGGATTCAGTAGCTGGATGCAGACACAGCATCTTGGTAGCACTTTAAAGCTGAAACATAACATAAAAAATGGAGCATCATTAGGAAAACCTGAGATTTATCCCAGTTTCTGGTAAGTTCAGGTGACTTTTGACTTCCCATTCAGGTCCTGAAACCCCGACACATCCGGGCCATGTTGTGACATTCTCAGTGTCCTCATCTTTCCTCTGGACAGTGGTAACAAATCCTGATTTGCTGGCAACCATCCAACTCTATCCTAATGTCACTTGGTGAGAAAAGTTGACTTTAGAGGAATTTTGTGGCAGTCAAGTGACCTCTGAAATGTGGATGTCGAGGCTGCTGTTCATCCATTTGTGGAGCAAACTGGATTATTACAGTAGAATTAGGAATTATGGCTGTGACTGTCACGCAGAGAGGTGGAAATACTTTCTAAATCTGCATTTAGTCCTTCCTTTGTGTTTATCTTTTATCTCTTCATGCTCCAGATCTTCAGTTGCTTTCACTGGATTTTTCCCAAGGACCAGGAAAGGCTTTCCTTTGGAAGCTCTTTGTACTCCCTGTGTCTTGTCAGGACATCTTTCCATGATGTGCCAGAAGTCTGGGCTGGCTCTGGTGACTCAGGGATTGCACCATAACACTGATAAGATAATGTTTAATCATGTATTCCAAAGCAGGAGATTTGGGTCACGGGATTAGTTTGTTAGGAAGCTTCAATCAAGAACATATTAATTAGAATGCATCCTGCATCCAGGCAGATGTTTGAATTATGGGATGAAATGGAACTTCTGATGCAGAGCGCTGCAAAAAAATAGATTTATTTCATTTTTTTTTTAAGCAAAACCTGTGGATTTAGGTCAAAAGTGGGATGTGAACACGTGGCAGTGAACTTGCAAAAATTCCTTTTTTCCTACTCTTCTCCCAGTGTGTTCAACAGGAATAAGTGCTCCCTGACTGTGTGAAGGAGTTAATTAATATTCCTGCTTTGGGGGCTTCTTACTGGGGGAGAAACCAACCTTTTGAGGTGTGCAGTGTTAGTTCACACAGCATTGACATGTGACTGCAGAAAAATGGATTTTTAAATTTTTTTTGAGCAATATCCATGGATTTAGGTCAAAATTCCACGTCAGAATGTGACACTGAACTTGTAAAATCTCCTTTTCCCCACCCTGTTCTCCCAGTGTGTTCCACAGGAATAAGTGCTCCCTGTGTGAAGGGGTTGAGTTAATTAATATTCCTGCTTTGGGGGTTTCTTAGTGGGGAAGAAAACAACTTTTTGAGGTGTGCAGTGGTATTTCACACAACATTTGACCTGTGGTTTTGGTCTTGCAGGGATAGACAGTCGATACAATGAAGGCTGCAGGGAGCTGGCAAACTACCTTCTCTTTGGCTTGTACAACCAGAACAACAATGACTTTGAGAGGACAGGCTTTCCTGAGGAGGTGCTTGATGGTGAGGAACCTGCTCAACGTTTTTACCTGCTCTTTAACCTTCCTGGTGGGAAAATGGAGCAGAAAAAGTGGGATAGAAAACAAAAAAATTCATTAAATCTCAAGTTGTGTTTGCACACCTGAAAATAGTTCTTAAAAA